TATTTTATTATTTAATTTCTTATATTTCCGGAATAATATATTATAACACGTTTTTGTTACGATTTGATGAAAGAAGAGAGAGAGAGAGAGAGAGAGAAAAAAAAAAAGTGAAGAAAGAAAGGAATGTCGAAATCATCACAAAAATATCTACTTTACTATAGCAATTATATCACTTTTTTTTTTCATTTTAATATCCTTAACAATACATTTGTGCATTCGTTAGTTTTTTTTTCTCCCCCCGCTTTACCCGCCCTCAATCATTTTTCGGGAATTTGTCGGGGAAGAAAAGAAAAAAAACGAAACAACAATCAAACCAATTTTCTTTCTCTTTTTTTTCCTCCAATTACACACCATATCATTATTATCCCATAAATGATGTTATACTGAACATTCCATGCCTATTCAAATCTTCTCTTTCATTCAATTTTTCCTTCTTTTTTCCCCCTCATATTCTTCCCGAGACAAACCAGATATCATCCAACATGTTGAATATTCGATAATTACAATCATATCATATGATAATGTTACACTCATACTTATTTAACTTATTACTCGAATACAAACATAAATATTAATAATTTTTCTTTTTTTTTCTTATTATTAATATATTTTTTATTTGTATAAAAGAAAAAAAAAACAATTGTGATCTTTAATCTTTTTATGATAATTATTTAATTACAAATTTTTTTACTAACATTAATGATAATTTTGAATTACAGAAAATTCAATTTAAAATTGTAACAGAAAAAGAAAAGAAAAAAGAAAACGAAGAAAATTGATATCAATGATTTTTAATTGCTATGAAGAAAAACAGATCGATCCATTTTTGGGAATTAAATATCTAAATTTTCCTGAATCTAATTTTCTCATTCTAAAGGTTATTGTCAGAAGATGATTTCATTTCTCTGAGCTATAGCATAATTATCGCAATTATTCAATCAATTATAAAATCGTTAAAATTATACCTTACAATTTTAATTCTTAAAATGACGAAATAATTTGAATATTGTATGAATCGATGAAAATCATTCCGAATAATTTTCCGATTTTTGCTAAAACCGGTCCGGTAAGTCGTAATTAATCAATCCATTTGATGTAATCAATCCATTTGTAATCAATCCATTTGATGTATTTCTTCATCATTTACCATTTTTTCCGTTTTCTATTTCTTTTTTTTCCTATTTCACTTTTTATTTTCTTTTTTCTTTTCTTTTTCTTTTTTTTGTACTTTTTTAAACGAACAAATTTTGCTTTCTTTTTTCTACGAAATTTAGAACATTTTCAATATTCATACCAATGTATCTAACTTGCTTATAAATTTAATTTTTGAAAAAAAAATTAAATTTTTTAAAAGGATAGATTTAGTTTTATTTTTGGAAAAGAAAAAAAAAAGAAGAAGAA